ATACTGAATTGAGTAATTATAGGAATCTACTTTAAAGAACTATTAATCTTATCTTACATACCTAAATGTAGGAGTCTATAAACCCATCATTTAATCCCACCTTGAGGTTAGGGCAAGCTGAATCCCCATCATCTAGTATGTTAATTCTCATATTCCTGGAGGGCACCTTCCAGAACGACAGCGAAATTATTTCCTGTTCCTCCCAGGCGCAATTAGATAACAGAATTAATCTGGTCTAGATTTTAACTTCTCTGAATATATATATATAGTACAAAATTGAGTTTCCATGGCTTTGTGTAAAAGCCTTAAATGCACTAGAAGTTGGACTAACTTAAATCAAATGTCTAAAGCCAGCTATATGAAGTAATGCCTCAAAGCCAGTATTTCTACCCTGAAATTATTATTTTCCATCATATTTATCACAGAAGAGCATAACTGAATTAAATGTTTCAAACATCAGTTTGGATGGACTAAATATAAGTGCTGCCACATGATGCCTGTGCATTTTACATGAGACTCTAGGATAGACTTGTAACAACCCAGGGCACTGTACACATCCATGTGGCTCAGCAATTGAAAGGCAGCATGGTTAATGCCTACAGAATTTTTTCCTTGCCAAACTGTATCAGAAGTTCTTCATCAACAAAAGCAAGGCAGAGGTAGAAACTTAAGCCAAAAGCTAACCTGTCAAAATCTCCTTTTAAATCACAACTGATAATTTGTTATCAGGGCCTTTGTTGCCCTGAGGAGCTTCATTTATTGAATATACCTGTTCAAGAATCATTTTAGTATTTAAAAATCGCATTCCTTATACCTATGAGAAGAAAAGCACACCATCAATGTTCCACATGCCCATGCTTGCATGCTGGAGAGCAGTATTCAGCCTCATTCAGTTTCAAGTCTTGTTTAGAGAACAATAAAGAGATTTTTCTTAATGCACTTGAGATATCAACAAGCCATCTTCCATCCCTGCAAACCAAAATGCATGAGGAATTACAGCTCTCAGCAGAACTGGTCACTGCCCCATCTGTTAGTGTGCAATAAAGATGGGAGACTGATTCATCCCCAAAGTCTCCCCAAAGAGGGAACACGCTGTGCAATACTCCTCAGGACCTGCTGAGACACCATAAACCACCCACCGAGGCCCGAAGCAAAGTGCTGTGGAAAAAACATTCAGCAGAGAACTTAAGAGCATTACAAGGACGCAGTGCCCACCCACGCCACTGAACTGCCCGCAGAGCAAAAGCCCCCATGGACACCCGATGTGGCTGATGGAGAGGGTGATGCATAACTCTGATGGGCTGAATTGGCTTCTTGAACCTCTTCTGTCTTCCCAGAGACTTTAGAGACTGGTACCTAACAAGCAAGTAGGAAGAATCTGGCCTTGAGGGTCTCAATATAAAGACTCTGAAGTCAAGGGACACCTTTTCCACTATTTAATAGCCTCTAGATGAGGATGCTCAGAACCATAAAATGCCTATAATGACAAGGCACCCTAGTGCAAGCTTCTTCACTAGGATCTATTTGCTAAAAATGAGTTGGTTGTTCACTGAAAAGTAATACCATCAGCAATAAAGAAAAAACTGAAACAGATGAGCTAGTTTAAGTTTAGCGGCTTCTCATTTTAATTAGCAGATATTTATTTATCTCAACTTTCCCCTTAACCTCAATTTGTTTGTAGTAAGAAAGGAAAAGTGATTCTGGTGAATAAACACCGATATTTAGTTACATAAAATATTCTGCAAGCATGCGCATTACAAATAAACTCAACCTTAAATCTCTGTGTTGTGACTAATTTTAGGACTTGAGCTTTATCCAACAAAAAAAGAGCATGAAAAATGTTGACACGCACACCTCTGTCTCCAAACAGACAAAAGGCAAAACTAGTAGTTTCTACAAGCTGGGGGGGCAGGTTGCGGGGTGGGGGGCGGAAGGGGGAGCGCAGATTTAAGTGAAATGAAAAATGGATTAAAAAAAATAATAATTTTAATGTAAATTTTTAAAGGTGTGTTTTCCTGGAAATATGGTCATTTTGTGTATATTCCATCTACGTAATATAAGTAAGTTTGTGTTAAAAACATTGTCTACTGGGACAACGAAACAAGAGGAGTACATTAACTAGAGAAAGCTAAAATTAAGGATTTATAACAAAGAAAATGCTAAGAGATCACTCACAACATAAAGAAAAAAAAGTAATTTTATGAAAGGGTGGATTACCTTGTTTAAGGTGGAAGGGAAAAAAAGCAAAAAGAAATGTTTCTTTTTATTTATAAGGAGTATTGCTGGAAAGCTAACCACCCACCCCCACCCCACTCCCAACTCCAAACCAGCGCAGGCAAGGCCAGAGATGTCTTACTTCACTGAGCTGTGTTGCTGGGAGCCTGGTTAGGCAAACACAAAGAAAGAAGCCAAAAGATTAAGCGTGATGACGACTATTACCGTATTTCACAGTCAAATCAGATGACACTTCAATCCAGGAGAGCTATAAATCCAAATAATTTTTCAAAATTAATTTGAAGACTCCTTAGAGAAAACAATGCTTGCCCTAAATTACCCAGGACATGAAAATAAATAGTGTCTTCAAATGTTAAAACTGTAGCTCCTGAGATTCTTTTTCACTGCCATCTTCCCCAGAAGTCTTGATACTAAATACAAAACACACCATTGGTGAAAAATGACATACTGAGTGGGCCTAAAGAATTATAAAGGATACTAAAATACCAAACATTGTAAGAAAAAAAAAATACAAAAAAACCCTCCCCAAAACATGCCACTTTTCTTCCCCACACAAAATTACACCAAGATCATAGAATCATAGAATATCTCAAGTTGGAAGGGATCCATAACGATCATCAAGTCCAACTTCCTGCTCCTTGCAGGACTATCCACAACTAAACCATATGACTAAGAGCATCATCCAGACACTACTTGAACTCTGACAGGCTTGGTCCTGTGACCACTTCCCTGGGGAGCCTTTTCCAGTGACCAGCCACCCTCTCAGTGAAGTACCTTTTCCAGATGTTCAATCTGAATTTCTCCTGGTGCACCTTCATTCCATTTCCTCATGTCCTGTCGCTGGTCACCACGGAGAGGAGATCAGCATCTCCCCCTCCACTTTCCCCTTTGAGGAAGTTGTAGACTGTGATGAGGTCAGGCCTCATCATTCTCTTCTCCAAGCTGAACAAGCCAAATGACAAGTCTTGCCCTTGAGACCTTTCACCATCTTGGTTGCTCTGCTCTGGACACACTCTAATAGCTTGATGTCCTTCTTATATTGAGGCGCCCAAAACTGCACACAGTACTTGAGGTGGGGCCGCACCAGTGCAGCAGAGTGGGACAATCACCTCCCTCAACCGGCTAGCTGTGCTGTGCCTAATGCACCTCAGGACACAGCTGGCTCTTTTGGCTGCCAGGGCACGCTGCTGACTCTTATTCAACTTGCCATCAACCCAAACCCCCAGATCTCTTTCTGCAGGGCTGCTCTCCAGCTTCTCGTCCCCTAATTTGTACATAAAACCAGAATTACCCCATCCCAGGTGGAGACTCTAGCACTTGCTCTTGTTAAATTTTGTATGGTTGGTGATTGCTCAGCTCTCCAGATCTCTAGACGAATGTCCTATTTCATGATTCAGTGATAAGTAGTAACGCTATAGCCAGAGTTTTCTTTATTTATTTTTTTTTCCCTTAATGGAGGCTACGATGAAAGAAGTTTGGGTCTTTAGGGACTGCTGAGCCTTATATCCCGTCTTGAACAGTAAGGGACAGTCATGACTGCTGGGGTCCTCAACTCATCATTTCTGTATATCTTGTTCTTCCTCAGCTATCCTGATGTCTGCCTGACAGCTCTACTTTTGGCCAGAGGCAAGGAAGAAGCAGAGCTTCTAAGCAACAGGAAGAACCTTTTCAAAAGGCAAGCTGGTACCTCATACAGCCACCCCCTCATCTGAGACCTTCCATCAAAGTAGTCTTTTTAATTGCATTCTTAAGTCAGTAAAAAAACTTAGATTGACGTAACATGCTGGACTGTCCAGGCCAACACGAACACATTTTTGAAGTGCTCTGACTACTTCAGTAGCTGCCTGGGAGGTACCAGAGCAAGGAAGACCTGATGAAGCTTTCAGGAGGCTCGCATTGGACTGCCTTGGAGAAGAACAACCAATACTGGTAACATGGACCATCTGTGAAATTAAAATCCTCAGGAAAATGGAAAACCAATATTTTAACAGAGAAAAACTGGATTTGCAGGTTAAGAAAAATGATGCCATTGCAGTCAGCAGGAGAACTTGAGACATTCAGCGGAACAACCTTACCCACAATCCTCCTCATAGCTAGTTCTTGTTCAAAAAATTTACTTTTCCAGAGGGTAAGAATCGGCAGAAGAACAGTGTCAGATGTTATCACTTAGTTCCAACAAAGCAGTTGAACTTTGTTCAAGCAGGCAAGACTTGTGTGTAAAACACACTTGTGAACTTACAGAAACGAGGATTTATGAACACTCTTTGTTTCCTATATCAGTATCAGAATTGAGGTACCACTGTGAAAACAGCTTTTCCACATGACTTGGAAACATACAGGGATATGATCAGTAATGAAAAAAATAAGATACACTTCAATATGACAGAAAACCAAAAATGTTATTTTAAGAAGTTAAAACTAACACAATTATATTTGAATCAATTCAGCATGTCACCTCAAACTGCACCATAAAACCAAACTGTACTAATAAGTACTGACCAAATACTAATACTGAATCTTGCTAAATTTTTAATGCCTTGTATCAGCATCTTTTGAAGCAACTGTTACCTAACGTTCTAATTTCTGCTCAAAAAAAAAAAAAATCACAGAAACAAAATTATCAATAGCTGAAGTGATATTGTTCTGATATGTTATACCATTTCCAAATAGTGGATAATAAGAAGCTATTCAGAGGATTCTTGATCTTCTTAGTAACAGTCTATCTATCTACAGTTTTCAAGACCAGTATTATAATGGTTCCATACCGTGAAGCTGTTGTTGACATTTTTTGTGCTCGATTCAGCTACGCTGGCATCTGACAGGTCAACTTCATCAAATATTAGAGACTGTTAATGGAAAAAAACACAAAAACATTAAGTATAGCCTGAGTCCACTTTCAGGTATGCTTACAGTCTGTGCTTTCATTCCCTCACATCCATTCCAATTAGAAAATAAAAATGGTGAAAAAATGGTGAAAAAATAGAAAACACTGATGATGTGATAAAACTTCCTATTTCCTTCCTAAACACAGTCCTATTTGCTACCTAAGTGGTACATGAGAGCATAATAAAGTAGCTCCAAAAATATAAATTGCTTTAAAATCTCTTTTAAAGTATTTTATTTTATATAGATGCAGCTTTGGGGTGTCTACTGCATAGCATAAACGTGGTGTCAGATGAAAGAAATTCACACTTAATAAAATACAAATTAATTGATCAGTTTTAGAATGGAACTCTAAATTCATCAAAGGTAATCTATGATACTGTATTCATGTAAGAAAATGGAGCTCAAGGGCCTGAAGAGATCCCTTCCACTACTTTGTTTGATGCCGCAGCAAGAGAAATTTATGTCTTCTTTAAACACCCCAGCCTCTGGCAAAGGATTAATTAGGCTCCGTTAAACTCGTGATGGGTCTTGAAGCACAGAAGGGAAGACCAGCAAAAATGCCTCCCCTTCTTTTAGCCATACCATGTTCTTCCTCTTCCGTGCCCTGGGAAGGAGAATCAATGTTGGGGGAGTTTCAGCAAGTCTGGATTCAACGCTACAGAGTATTTGTACAATGCCTAGTTACACCTCCTTTTCTCATCTTCATGGCACAGATGACGTTGCCATTCTCAGAGCTCTGATCTGCCATGTTAATTATGTCTTTATATAAACTGCCTGTGGTAGCACCATGTGCAGCGAAGTGTGACAACAGAGGTACTTCGGTGCTGGGCTCACTGGAGAGGCGATGTTTTTCTTGATTCATCGCAGCCACACAACCGTGCACCACGCAATTATAGTCATACAGTCCTAGAAAGAGAGGTCTCTATGCCTTAGTAAAAGTTTTATTGAGAAGACCAGGCTATAAAAGATGACGGAGACCTGAAGCGCCTCACCTACAGCTCCCATGAGTCGCTGCGACCCCGCAGGGTAAAGAAAAGACATGCCCACCGTTATGGAACAGCACAATCTGAGCCAGCCCTACAAGCCAAAATGCTCTCAGCCCCAGTCCTGAGGGGGAGGGAGGAAATGCCTTTTGGAAAGAAGACAAGTATTCCCCTCTGCCCACTGCCAATTTTCCCACCAAAAACTTCAATTGATGGGAAACAGCTTTTTCCCTTTTAAATCAGCTTTGGCAGAATCTTATCTTGATTTCACGTAACCATTTGCATCCCTTTAATGGCAATATGGGCATCAGACTAGAGGAGTTTTAACGGAATTCAGTTTGAGAGATAACTGAGCATTGTCCAACATTTACTTTTCATTAAAAAAAACCAAACAACTTAAGAGAAATCACCAGTCTTCCTTAGTTGAAGTTAATTTAGCATACCACATCTTATATACGGCATTTTTTAAGCAATCACTAACAAATCATTACATTATTATTGCTATTACACTTACAAATCTAAATAAAATTGAAGTTATGAGTAGATGACATTAGGTGCTAATAGCATAGAATTACCTTTGAATCCTTGGCATAGTAAAGGGTACGACCTCGAAGTTTGAAATAACGTTTTTTCCACCTCTGAAAAGAACTAGTTTGCTTCAGTAGTAATCCTTCTTTTATACTTGTCTGAAAAATATTAAAATACAGAAGACAAGGTAAATGCATATCTAAATAGCTACGGAAACAGATGAAAGTTACACTTTTTAAAATATACGTTACATCTCATATAACTGTGCATTTAAATTTGGACCTATTCACATTAAATTGAGACGAACTCTGTGGACAACCAGACTTTGCACTGCTTTTTTTCAGACAACGACAATGTTGTCAAAATGCTAATCTTGCATGTAAAATGAAAAGGCAGTCAAGAGGCATATAATTATTGTGAAGATGAACACAAAATAATTTGATTGTTTGGATAGCTGCACACCCACAAATATTAAAGTGAGCAACAACTGATGGTGGCACAATTCAGAAAAAAAACAATGCTAAAAACCATCTACACAAGGTCATTTCTAGTCCCAGAATCTGATTATATTGAGGAGAAGAACAATTTCCATATAGACACTAATTCAACAAGGTACTTAAACACGTGTCTGATTCAAGCACATGAATTATGGCTTAAAAGTAGTGGGAATGATCCAGTATGATGCAAGTCATGCATGACTTCAAGTGCATTGCTGAACTTGAAGTGAAGCCTTCAGCATGAAATCAGCTTATAAATAGGATTAATTATTATATGGAAAGTGTGAGAACAGTAACAGCTAGAGATATTTTTACCAGGCAAATATTTTTAGTCCAAAAATGATTCGTTGATCCAAACCTTTCCACTGCAGGCTGAACCTGCCTAAAAAAAAGCCCATTTTTTGAAATTAGTAAAACACAAATCAGTGTATTTTAAATGTGCATGCTGCTTTTGCCAGCGTGTGTGAGATTCATCCATCTGATTACAGAAATTCTCCACTTAATTAGATGAAATGACATGACACAGCATACTAATTGCATGAGTCTCGAAATTCATTTTCTTCAGCTTTGAAGCACACAAAGCATATGCGAAAAAGTAAGTACATTTGGCTATTATATTCCAGAATGGTTCCTCATATTTCCAGAATACTTCCAATTTGTAGTGTAATAATATGATCCAAATCTTACAATAGAATTTCTAGACAATGTGATACAAACATCATTTGAAGTTATTCTAGACCTTTTAGAGACTTAACCAAGACCTGATCTAAAGTTCATAAACGTTGTCTTCTGTTATCAGATGTCAAATTCTCCTTAACTTCAATGCAAGTAATAAAAACACAGAAAAAGCAGAAACCACTTTAATGTTCCTACCATTTCCTTGAAATCAGAAACATCACTGTTACGTACATACATTGCACCCTTCATTTAGATACTCCTAACGTCACGAACTAAGAATATGGTCCAACAATCACAAAGCAACTGAATTACTGCTCTCAGAAAAGCAAGCCTCAGATGAAACATTGCAGCTGAAGGTTTGGATTTATCTCAGTTCACACGCCAACAACCCAGACCAACGCGTTCAGCCAGCCCTCCTGCTCTAGCTAAGGGGTAGCAATTCCCAGTTGAAAGGGTCTGCTCACCACACACCATTTTAAGATTGCTTGCAATTTTCTGACCAGACCCTAAGATATGCTAGTTTTACATGATATAAATAGATTTAATCGGTAAGCGAATACAAGTACTTATTCAAAGCTATTTTAGCCGTGCAGCACTTCTGTTTCATATCTTCATATGAGATTTTGGAAGCTCATCACACAGCATGGGAGTAGATGACTTATGTGTTTATCGAGTGTCAGACGATGTAAGACCAGAGAAATTTAGTTCCAAGGAAACAGTACTCCACATACATGGCTGGCATTGACTTACTGGAAAAATTTCCAAAATGGAAGGAAATCTGCGTTCCCTAAAATGCACTATGTGTACTAGGAGGCACAGAACATACATTATTCTGAACATTTTCAAGAATTTAAAAATCTGTTCAAAGAACCTAAATCTCCCTAAACCTTGAGCTATTACTCACTAAAGAATTAATTAACTTTCATGTCATTTTTATGCCTACATAAGCCATTTCCCCCTATTTCTACTCACCCCTTAAAACACTGGTATCCCTCAAATGAAATCAATAACTTGAAGATTAATGCTATTTTGCAAATCAGCCATTTAAAATTAACTCCCTAAAGTTGGCAGTAAATAACCATGTAAGTAAATAACCATGCAGGCATGTCCTGGCCTGTATCAGGAATAGTGTGGCCAGCAGGAGTAGGGAAGTGATTGTACCCCTGTACTCGGCACTGGTGAGGCCGCACCTTGAATCCTGTGTTCAGTTTTGGGCCCCTCACTCCAAGAAGGACGTTGAGGTGCTGGAGCGTGTCCAGAGAAGGGCAACGAAGCTGGTGAGGGGTCTGGAGCACAAGTCTTATGAGGAGCGGCTGAGGGAACTGGGGTTGTTTAGTCTGGAGAAGAGGAGGCTGAGGGGAGACCTTATCGCTCTCTACAACTACCTGAAAGGGGGTTGTGGTGAGGTGGGTGTTGGCCTCTTCTCCCAAGTAACTAGTGATAGGACAAGAGGAAATGGCCTCAAGTTGCGCCAGGGGAGGTTTACATTGGATATTAGGAAAAATTTCTTCACTGAGAGAGTGGTCAGGCATTGGAACAGGCTGCCCAGGGAGGTGGTGGAGTCGCCATCTCTGGAAGTGTTCAAGAAACGTGTGGATGTGGCGCTTCAGGGCATGGTTTAGGGGACATGGTGGCGCTGGATTAATGGTTGGACTTGATGATCTTGAAGGTCCTTTCCAACCTAGTGTTTCTGTGATTCTGTGATTCTGTGAGGCTCTACAGAATGCATTTTTGTATCAAAATGTTAAAAAAAGTACTAGACTGGTAAACATTTACCCAAGAAATGGAAGCACTTCATGAAGTATACATCTGAAGTTTACATTTTACCACCAATAGATATACTGGGGGAGGAGTCGGGAGTGAGCGTCTTAAATAGACAATTCCATAGCTGTAGGCATCAAAATTGAGCATAAATCTTTGGTCTGATATCCTTAATTAACTTCATTTAGCCTTTCAAAGATGCAAAAAACTTCCAGCTGCCAACTGAGTCATTAAATAATCTGCTAATAATGCTTTTCTGAAGCTACAGCACTTAGAGTAATGTGAGATTGGAAGGGATCTCTCAGGCTGTTGAAATTGAGTCCACATTACTGACTACAACCTGGTCATGCAAAGTTTTTCACAAGCATTGATCAGGCTACAGCTACACCTTAAGAAAGTTATCAGTACCTCTTCCTCTCCTGACAGCAATTAAGGCAGTGTTCCAAGATCTCGCTGTTCTGAGAAGCCTTCTTCTAATTAATCTCAGCTGTACATTAAATCTGAAGCATAAGCAATAATCACTGCCAGCTGTATTAACTGCTTTCCTACTGTAATTTAGGAGAAACAAGAAGTGCACATCCCACAATCCCATGCTACTTCTCACTTTTAGAGAATCAATTCTCATCAACTTGCCAAAACTTCTGGCCTCCTCATACAGCACCTTGTATCATCTAGTAATAAAACATCCCTCCAGAAGTATGGGACTATAACAGTAGCATAGCATAGGATCACTAACAAACTTTACTACTTTAGCCATTAACAATTAGGAGAATGGTTCACAATATTACAATCACAACATCACAGTGATCCACAGTGGTATATTTTCCTGAAGAAATCTAATTATAGAAATCATAGCCACATTTCATAAAATTAAGAAGGTGTACATATGTGTTCAATTATACAAGAATGTTGAATGCAACTCTACATCGCCATAATCTAAATGACAAAAATAAGTGGCATTTGTGGGTATTTTGATCACTAAAGAATAAGAGGCATCTTCTTTTATATCAGCAGATTTTTAAATATTTAGTATATAACAGTTGAAAATCCAAAATGAACAGTTTTAATTTCAAAGACAACCAAACACATTGCCTTACTTCTAATTCACTCAGTTTATGAAGTCCCACATTTGCGCATAATTCAAAATTTTTTTACTTCTGCTGCTGCTAGAAAGACCCAAAGAAAGGAGAAAATACTCTGAATTTAGAAAAGAAAACAGTAACGTGACTATGGATGCATTATTGACAACTGCAAACTAAAACACTGAATGCTTAAAGATAAAACTCTCCCATCTACTCCTTTTCGGGTATATAAGTGGACGTGCTGCTCAAAATGTGTCATGAGAGTGAAGAAAAGAACATCAGGGAATTCCTGAAAGTGAGGCGAATGAAAATGAGAACAGGAAAGGCCACAGAACAAGGCAGGTCAGATGTAAACAGGAAATTAAGAGGGTGGAGAGTAATTTTAAGATTACCTTGCAACAGATGCTCACGCTGAGACTAAAATGTTATTTAAATACTTTGAAAGATGAAAGACAGTCAAGGAGTTGGCAGGATCATTTTTCAACAGAGGTATTACTCAAGGATGAGAAGATCACAGCAAAGCAGCTCATCAAATTCTTGGTATCTGTCTTTACCAATGAAGATGATGAGACGGTATCTCACACATGTTCTTCGTAACATCAGAACAGCTAGATCAACACGAAGCACATATACAGGAAGTACTAGACCAGCCAAATCACCAAGTCATGTGGACCAGATGGTATTGACCTGAGAGCCCTGAAGGTCTTGAAAGGACCACAGCTACGAACTTCCAATCCTTGTAAGACAGTAGAGACCATACAAAAGAATAATACTGCTGAGCCCATACACAACCGATGGGAAAAAAGCGAACAGAGCTTTTGTAAAGGAAAATACTGCCTTGCTACCTGCAGGGAGTTCAGGGGGTGGAAAGGAAAGCATATGGATAAATGAAAAAACAGTGGACTCAGATTATAAGAAAGCCTTTCACAAGGCTTCTGCCAAAGACTATTGAAGAAAATAAGTAGAATGGAATTAGATACAATTAGATATATATATTAGATATTATATATATTATATA